AGTTGAAGGCAAGACATGATGAAGGCCTATACTAAGGTAGTATCAGTGTGGTTAGAGAATGGAACAAATTCTAGAGATGTTGTAGAGGTAGAAATGATGAGATTTACCTACTGATTAGATATGTGGAATAAGAGAGTTAAAAGTTAAAGATGACGCCACAGTTCTAAGCCCAGGCGACTGGATGTTGGTTTCCTTGATAGAAATAAGGAAGTCCAAAAGAGGGATGGATTTTTGGGAAAAAAAATGCTTTCCTCTTTGAACATACTGATTGTGAGACATCTATCTTGACATCTTGAGACAGTTGGAGATGCAATACTAGAAATCAAGGGAGAGATTAAGACGGAATATGTAGATTTGAAGCCATCAGCATAGTTAATTAAACCCAGGAGGTCACCAGGACGAAGTATATTAAGATAAGAAGGCCCAGGATGGAGCCCTTGGGTTTGCTGGTAGTTAGAGGGCACAAGAAGAAATGATTGTGAAGGCAATCTGCCAGAGAAAATCAAGGGTTATGATTTAGCAGAAATGTAGAGGACTTGGCCTTGGAAAGAGGAAAGGCCACTTTTTTTTTTTAAATCAGAGACTGTAGTAAAAGAGGAGAGAACTGATTGACAATAGGGTAGATATTGAGAAGAGAGGAGAATGAAGCCAGACCGGGGGGATGGCCTGGAAAAGTAATGAGCAGTGGAGGAACTAGAGAACATGGTGAGGATGAATAATGAGTTAAGGAGAAGTAAATACACAGAGGAGATGGAATGATAAGAGGCAATGGTTAGATAAAAAATTTCATAGTTCTTGATTATGAAATTGGAACTCTTATGGGAGATGGCAAGATCAAGGGTGTGAACATTCTTGTGTAGATGAAGTGGAGTGGAGGAGTAGGACATGAAAATTAAATACATTAAGGACCTGGCAGGTTATTGGTTGAAGGAAAAGCAGAATATATGTAGAAGGGGCATATGTTATGTCCCCTAGCATGAGGGTAGGGGTTTGGGTGGAAAGGAAACTTATGAGGTACTGAACTTCTTGAGAAAGGAGGGAGAATGATTTGGGGGTCAAATCTATCCTCAGACACTTATTGGAAAGTCATTTAACCTGTCTGCCTCAGTTTCCTCATCTGTAAAATGGATATAATAACAGCACTTACCTTTCCAGGGTTGTGGTTAGGATAAAATTGGATATTTGTAACATGCTTTGTAAACCTTAAAGTGCTATATAAATGTTTGTTATTAACTATTACATACAAAGTAAATACAAGGCATTTTTTTTTTGAGAAAGGGAGGCACTAGCAGCTGGGGTGTGTGTGTGAGGGTGAATCAGAAAAGCCCTCTTGGAGAAAGTGATGCTTGAGCTAAGCTTTGAAGGAAGCTAAGGGTTCCAAAAGACAGAAGTGGGAAAGGAATGCATTCTATGCAGAGGGCACAGCCTGTGCAAAGGCAGAATATTGTGTATTAGCAAGAATGTGGCCAATTTGGATATATCCTGGAGTGCATTAGAAAAATGTGCGATGAGCTTTGAAAGGTAGGCTGGAGCCACACTGTGAAGGGATTTAAATGTCAAACAGGAGTTTATATTTTATACTAGAGGAAAAAGGTAGCCACAGGAGCATTTTGAGTTGGGGAATGACAGGATCATAGATGAGTATCACTTGGGCAGTTGTGTAGAAGATGATCTGAAGCAGAAACAGAACAGGGAATATTAAACGCTTGTGTATTTAAAAACTACTCCAACAGTTGTGGTGGATTTTTTTTTCTTTCTTTCTTTCTTTTTTCAAGTGAGGCAATTGAGGTTAAGTGACTTGCCCAGAGTCACACAGCCAGGAAGTGTTATGTGTCTGAGGCCACATCTGAACTCAGGTCCTCCTGACTCCAGGGCCAGTGCTCTATCCACTGCGCCATCTAGCTGCCCCCAGCTTTTTTAATTTGACGATAACAATTTCTTTAGGACTTTTCAGGGTCTCCCTGAATTATAAAAGGAGAAAACAGTAGGCTGCTCTCTCAGATGAAGCAAATTCATTCTAAAGTCTGCCCCCCCCCCCCACTATATGAACAAGTAGCTGGACTAATGTCTTTATGGAGAGAAACATAGAAGTCCCACATCCTGACAAAGAAGTAATGGACTCAGGGTACACAAGGAAGCAAAGTTTTTGGACATGGCCAATGTAGGAATTTGTTTTCCTAGATCTACACATATTTATTTCAAGGGTTTTCTTTTTCTTTTTCCAGTTGAGGGAGAGGTGGTAGGGAAAAAAATAGATTTTTAATTAAAAAAAAATCTAAAAAATTAAAAAAGAGAAAAATGTAGTTCATATCCTGACTGTGCTACTTAAACCTGGGTGATCTTGGACAAATCACTTAAACTCTGAGCCTCTTCATATGTAAAATGACAGGGTTGGATTCAGTAGTGTCAAATTCAAAAGGAACAGATAATGTGGGAGCCACATACTGACTTAGACTAGAGCAAATTAACATTAACTGTGTTGTATTATATTTTGATTTATTTTGTTAAACATTTTCCCAATTATATTTTAATCTGGATTGGGCTACACTGAGAGTTTTGCAAGTTTGACACCTCTGGATTAGATAATGTCCAAGATCCATCTCAGGACTAGAACTTTTAATCCTTTCTTTTATGTGTTGTCTCCCCCAGTTAGAATTCTTTGAAAGCAAGTACTTTGTATCCCCAGTGCTTAACACAATACTTGGCACATAGCAAGTGCAAATCACCATGTAAATGACTGCCTGAGCTAAAGGCCACTTTGGAAACCATGAAGTCAACATACCTCAAACTGCACCATGTGATTGAATGCCTCTTTCATCAGAATGGCCCAGTGAAGGGTGGACTTTCTTGGTTGTAACAGCAAACAGAGCTATTCCCCTGAGCTATTAACAGGAAAACTGTTTTCCTTTTTTATTTTTTTCTAAATTGAGCCTGTCAAAAACAACCTCAGATATAGTGTTTCCACATATTATAGCAATACTCTCTTCAACATGGAGAAGAGGACTAGTGTCTATCAAAATAATTATGTTGTTGAACATTTCTGTATCAGTTTGTCTCATTTTAAAATGCCCTGTCCTCTATCCTATACGTTGGCTTGTGCCATAATTGGCTATTTTTGCATCTGAGGAAACTTTCACTCATAAAACTCAAGGCCTATCATCAGAGTAATACATACCAAGTTAGGGGCAGAACTGATAGCAGTATCTTGGTTTCAGAAGGTGTTAGTAGGTGCAATCTTTAGCTCCGTTAAGTCTCAGATAAAATTTCTTGTTTCAAGTCTCTCTCCACTCCAGGCTACCCTTCACTTAGCTGCCAAAGTGGTCTTCCTAAAGCATGGGTCTTACCATGTCACTCCCCTACTCAAGAACTCTGTGGCTGCTTTCAGATCAGAATCCAGATTAAAAAAGGGGAGCAGGCTTTTAAAGCCCTTCACAAACTGATTCATTTCTATCTTTCCAGTCCTGTTACATTTTAGCCCCCTGTACACACTACCACCCAGTTCACACTGGTCTTCCTCTTCCTTGCACAGGACACTATTTCCCAAATTTGAACCTTTAATATATGGAAGCAATCCCCCATATATGGTATCCATTCCCTCCTTACTTCTACTTCTTGGCTTCCCTCAAGAATCAACTCAAAAGGCACTTTTTGTATTTATAGCAGCTCTTTTTGTGGTGGCAAAGAAATGGAAATTGAGGGAATTCCCATCAATTGGGGAATGGCTGAATAAGTTGTAGTATATGAATGTGCTACAAGAAATGATGAACAGGTGGATTTCAGAAAACTTGGAAAGACTTACATGAACTGATGCTGAATAAAGTGAGCAGAACCAGGAGAACATTGTACACAGTAATAGCAACATTGTGCAATGATCAACTATGATAGATTTAACTCTTTTCAGCAATACCATGATCCAAGACAATTCCAAAAGACTCATGATAGAAAATGCTATACATATCCAGAAAAAGAACTATAGAGTTTGAAGGCAGATCGAAGCACACTATTTTCAGATTTTTTCTTTATGAATTTTCCCTTTTGTTCTGTTTCTTCTTTCACAACATAACTAATGTGGAAATATATTTAACATGATTGCACATGTAGAACCTATATCAGATTGCTTGCCATCTTGGGGAAGGAAAAGGGGAAGGGGAGAAGGAGAAAATTTTGGAACTCAAAATTTTCTAAAAATGAATGTTGAAAATTATCTTTACATGTAATTGGGAAATATAAAGTTCTATTAAAAATGTACTTTTTGTAAGAGGCCTATTCTAGATCCTCACTGATCCATCTGCCATATAGTGCCTTCTCTCTGATTACCTCCCATTTACACTGTATATCTTTTGTCTCTCCTGTCGAATGTGAGCTTCTTGGGGGAAGACCTTGTTCTTATCTTGCTTTGTACTGCATTAGTACAAATAATGAAATCCATGAAGAAGTCATTATTCACATTTGAGCTTCATATTTCCACTTGGCTAGAACCAATGACTATATTTTACACAATTATAACTTTAAACAGGGCAAATTCAAACACATATGACCACTTTGTAGGATTCATTATTCACATTAGCTGTATCCCCAGTGCTTAGTATAGTGTCTGGCATATATAATTCTTAATAAATGCTTGTTGATTGATTGATTGAGACAGCTTACGTTGTCTGACTTTTTTCACATCTGTGTGGTCTCTATAGATCTGGATGATGATAAATCCTGCTGCTTCTAATATAACTTGTGCAAAGCTGCCATTACATATTTCTAAGGGGCAAATCAGGAAATTAGGTAGGTGGTGTGTATAAGTGTATATACATACATATGTATATATGTGTGTGTATGCGCACAAATAATATGTGTGTATATTTATATCTCTATCTTTTGTAGGTGAATATATAGAATATATTTTACATGTAATATTTACCTAAATATACAGAATACATAGCATGCATGAGTATTTTGGATGAATGTTTAATTCAACATAATCTGGAAAAATAAAAGTCATACTCAAATCACAACAATATTTGTACCGTTTTTATTTGTAAAAATAACCATCTGAATGCATTTCAATAGTTTACAGCTACGTATTTCATTACATTAATAGAGCATTCAGTAGTTGAAAAAGATATTAAACTGTGCTTGAAAAGATTCAGATTGGATCAGTCATTCAATGAATTAAGTTTTTTTCCTCATTTTTACAGTTATGACATTTACCGAAGTCATTCAATTCCAATTTACATAATAAAACATTACAGACAAAACCCCACTGAAACCATCAACCAATAATTTCTGCCGTTACAAATATGTTATGCAAAATATAACACTGGCACCAGATTCGTATCATCGTGCTTTGTAAAGATATATTGCACATGCTAAAGCATAAAATATGTTGACAAAACTACCAAACATAAGATATTGGCTTTGAATATTTAGATCACTGCATAAGAAAAGCATAGAATTACATTTTATACACACGCTCAGATTGTCACTATTTTAAAATGCTTTTTCCCTCTAACACTGATCTATGGTTTATAGTTTCTGTATGAAGAAAGCATTTTTAGCACTGCAAAAAAAAAATCATACATCATTCCTATGGAAATTTAGCACATTCATTTAAAATTCAAAGCAAGTGAAAGGGAATGGGGGAAAAAGACTGTATACATTCAAAAAAAGTTTGAAATAAAAACCGACTGGTATTATATTGCTTTGATAACACTCAAATGGAAAAAATACAATAAATTTCACAAAACATTTTCAGAATACACAAATATAAAAAGGCACTCTAACTTCATATTACACCAGAAAAGACGCAAGTTCTTAAACCAAACCAACAGAGAGCTAACCAATTTTCTCCACAGTACAAAGAATAACTACTGCAGCAATTCATTTGATGTTCTTGCTCTAATTTAGTAATAAAATAACAATTCAAGCAGCTGTTTACTGCATAAAGTACCAAACATACTATGGTGCCCTTTTAGTAGTGATAAATAGAAATCCCCTGAGCTATTTGCTGTAGAATCAGAACAAGTTTTAGGCAATTTGGAGATAGTAACGTATTATCAAAGATAGGCAGACACTGGTGAACAAGAAGAGTTACGTGCAATGCAAAAAATCCCCGTGTCTCTGGTTAAAATACAGTCTTAAAAAAAGTATTTAAGCAAGAACAATAAACACCATGATGTAGGAATCTGAAAATTTATTTAAAAAAACACTTTTTTCTTAGTGAGCCTTGTTGAAAATATGATTTTCTTTCTAGCAATAGACTTAGAAGATACAAAAACTAAATGCAATCTTTCCTTATGTCCTAAATAAAGCAAATTTTGTAGTCACCAAAACCAACTCAAGAAAAGGAAAAAATAAATTTACTGGTCAGTTCCTGGTAAGCATATTTCAATTTTGTTCCTTTGTCCTCTTACAATGTAATAGAGTAGAAAGGTAAACTATAGTTCCACTGTGATAAGGTTGAATCACTGTGGTTTGCTGCAATATTACCTGTTATCTCTGCTCTTCTACAGAAAAATTCAACACTAGTCCTCTAAAAGAAGACATTTCATTTCCTGCTTAAAAGGCCACTTCCTTTCATTCCAAAACAAATACCATTTTAGTGAGATTTCCAGTCACTTCTACAAAAAGACACCACAGTATACAGCTCTCCTTCAAAGCTGGTTCCCCCTTATTTTCAGTGCTTTAATAAAGATAAGGTAGTTATTGCTAGTTAGCAACTTTTTAAAAAAATCATTCTTCTCAAAAAAGGAATACAGTACTAACGTTAAGGGGGGGAAAGGAGAAAACATCCCCTTTTCCTCAGAGTTCTAGAAAAGTGTCATTGAACTTTTCCAATGAAATCAATACCAATTCTACAAGTCCTTGGAACAAGTTCTCATTCGTGATGAGTAAAGTGAGTTCCAATTTTTTAATTCCTCCAAGATGCTAAAAGATTAAGGTATTTTACAGGTATTGAAAAACACAATATAGTATCTATAGTTTGCTTAGATCTCATTGAACACTGTTTTTAAAAAATGCTCGTGATTATTATAAAATAGAAATTTCCAGGACTAAACTAGAAAAAGAAAGAAATGTCAGAGGTACAGCCCCTCAAGAAGTATTTCTTCCCTTTTTCTTGGCTCAAGTGGAAAACTAAGCATGTGGACTGGTGATTTTAACTTCTCTCAGACCATGAGTCAGCAGCCTAAGTCATAGTTTTCCTGCTAGGATCCTTTTACTGGGACTATGTGCAATCTTGTGGCTAGTAGGATCACTTTTGAACCTTTCATGTCTGTATCATGTTGACACACACCAACACCCATTTCTATTCTCTTCTCTCAAGGACTGTGTCTAGAGTATACCCACCTGGAGTTCAGCCTTCCTTACTGAGAGATAGCAATGCCCTGTAAGCTACAGTGAGAGGGGATCTGAGCAATGGAATGACTGTGCATTCTGTATCCCCTCCTAAAAGATGTGGAAGAACCTGAGGTTAGCCTGGAAACCTTAACAATAGATATGCTGAGCATAGGGACCCCAGGCATTCTGGCTAGCTCAGAGTCAATTTTTTTTCTGCTATTTTTTTTCTTTATAGGCCCGATAAGACACATAACAATTAAAACATAACTACGGAGAAAATTCCTGGGCTTTTGCTTCACATCAAATAAATATAAACACATTTACATCAAAAGTATATATGAACATTTTCTCTGGTTTGGCAAAAAAATAAATTGTGGTCAACACATCATTGGTTACAAATGGTAAGCCATCAACTATAAATCTGTGTCGTAAGAAATGTAAAATACAACCAAGACTCAAAAAGTATACATTTTAACTTTTTAGAAAAGCTACATCATTTCTCATTTCCATTTTGAAGGAAAAAAAATTTATCTTCCATTTTAGACACTGAAGCATTTTGGTCCTCGTGTATAGCTGGTTGATGATATATATACATATATATATATATGTATATATAAATATTTTTTTCAGAGTCTCATTCTTCTTTTTGTACATCTGTCCCAGGTGAGGAACGGGGTCCATTTGACCTAGAAGCTTTGGCAGAAGGAGCAGATACAGTATTCATAATGTTGATCCCACTTAACAAGTCAATGCTAATTGGCTTTTCTTTCCAAATCTCATTTTGCTATTCCCCATTTTGTGCCTATGTTCACTTTGGGACCTACATTATTTCTTGCTTTGCATTACTCTTGACCAAAGAGACTATTTAACTTCCTAATATAGTGTAAAAAATATTTTTTACAACCTAGTGGTTAATTTATTTTTTAAAAAGGAAGTATTCTGATTTAATTGAAGAAGAATCAGTGAAAAAAAAAACAAACTACTGCACTTGAAACTGGCAAATTGCTACAAAGTTTATGGACTATGTAATTATGAACTAAACTTTCTATGGTGGATCAGAGTTGAGTGGATCAGGTGAAAATTATTAATGATCTATCATATAATCTAGCATATGTCATGTTTATATTATAATTTAAAAATTATATCAAATTTTACATCAATATTCATCTACTAAGCAAAGATTCTTAGCACATGCCTTCTGGACATGTGTGCTTAATGTGTGTTGGTATATGTATGTGTATATGAACAGGCAGAGACAGGAAAGGAAAAACAGACAGAGACATATCAACAAAGATAGAGAGGCAGAGAGAATACATGAGTGGTTAACTCTTCTAGCAACAATAATCCAGGCAATACCTCTGAAGGTGAACTTTACCTTTGGCTTGTAATGAGGAAGTAAACATCAGAGTGAGGAGAAATTTGAGGACAAACTCCCTCATGGTACAAGAAAGCCACATTGATAAGCTTCTGATAATTGTACAGCAAGGACACAATATAAAAATCCTTGATATAATAGCCCCTTACTCTGTTGCATTATTTCAAAAGAAGAAATAATAAAATGCCTTTTTAAAAAATTCCCTACTTAAGATGAGAGGTAGACTTTCACAGCAGTACTTTAGATAGAAAAAAAACATGATGAAATCAAAGTCAGGGCACATTTCGTGAGAATGTTTTCCAACAAAAACTCCAAGTCCTTTCCTATAGGCTCATTGCACACTTTACTAAACCCTTTTCTCCTATTTTCTCAAAGCTTGGTTCCATAATGACACTCTGACACAATATAATTTGGGGAATAAAAAGTCTTCCTGCCCCGCCTTCTCCACTTAACGTAAGTAATTAAGTGGAAGCTTCTGAAGTCCAGAGTCAAAATGTTTCCGAATCAGAATCATTTTCATTGTACCCGTCCTCTGATCCTATATTGTGAGTGCAAGAGCTAGCGGTGCCACTCAGATTGGTGCCATCACAGATCTGTGTCCTGCTCAAATGGTCTTTTTTAAAACAAACGAAGTTGAAAGCCGTCATTGTACTGGAAGGAGAAAAAGGCATCATGGTAGCCAAAATGAGTGCCAGGCAGTCAGCCACGTCCTTGTTAGGAGCGCAAGCCAGGGCTGGGGTATGACCTGGGCATAAATGCAGACAAGGCAATGGTTAGTACTGGGGAAATCAAAGGGGAAAGTGAGCATTCCACAAATACATCTCAAGATGATTTTGTAAGCGAGAGATGTATGTCAAGTTAAAACCATGCCAGGCAAGAGGATGAATTACTTATACTAAGTAGACATGCTAGGGGTCAGAGAGAAGGAAAGGTGGGATAAGGGAATTGGGGGAGGGAATGGAGGAAGAGACAATTTATGAAGGTTTTCAGCTCATATGACCACAACAAGCACTCTATTATAAGTTAGGGGGAATTTAGCCTTCACCAAATGGACAAAAACACTGGGAGAACACAGATTCACAACAACAAAGATGAATACAATATAGCGCGCATGGCACTATGAACCTGATAACAGCATTCAGCCTCGGTTCATAGGGACAAATCTCATTCTGAGAACAATGACTTTCAGTTGTAGACAAATGTGCATCAGATAAGAAAAAAATTTACATTAGGTATCAACAAACATCAAGTTATGCAGTTTTATCATTCAATGCATATTAATCAACTGGTATTTGAGAGATTAAAACGTATTAGTTGGGACAGATACAATAAATTGGATACATGGGATGTATGAGAAAGATTAGTCCTTGTTGAATCAAAATTTACTTTTCTTGGTATTCAAGTTAGCAACTCAATTAATAAAAATTATAAACAGAACAGAAACCCTATTCTAGAACCCAGCAGATGTTGCAAAGGAAAGAATGATGTGGGGAATTCTTAGCCTGAGTCATAGTTTGAGCTTCAGAAGTCTGACCAGAAACAAAAGAATTTTAGTGATTTTTTGTTAAACACTTGATCCAGTTACTGCAGGTAAAATGCTCTCTCATTACAAATCAGGTATGTAAGAAGGTAGATTTTTTTTTTATGGCACTCTACCTTTATCAGACTGAACTCCAGTGACTTAGACAAAATGGTGGCAGCATGTATACTGCAAAGGGTATCAAACTTGGAGTCATGAGACCTGGGTTTGAATCCTGGCCCTGTCACATTTTAGCAGTATGCTCTTGAGGAAAATTATGTTATTTTGCCTCAGTTTTCTCCTTAGTAAAATGATGATAATAATACTTGTATTATCCACACTCACCAGTTTACTATGAGGAAAATGCAAATCTCAAAGCACTGTAGAAATGTGAGCTACTATAATATTAATATGCACTATTATAGAGCCTAATGCTGCATAAGAGCATTTGGCATTAACTATTGCTGGAAGATTACAAAGTGCTAACAGATAGGCAAACTATTATTAGTATCATCAGGGAATAACTTACTCAAACCATAGGATCTGGTACAATGAATAGAAATTCCTATGGGGTCATCACCACTTCATTTCTTGTCTGTGATCATCTATCAGATTTCCCTGACACTCACTTCTCCACCCCCACATTGGTAAGAAAGCAAAAATAAGAAAAATCGGGTATGATAATATTCTACACAAGTTAAATAATTGATTAATAAAGGCTCTGTGATTCTAAAATGCTGAACAAAACAGCCTCTAAAAACAGGGGTTCTTAACTTAGAGGTCCATGTGCCATCATGGGGTCCACAAACAGATTTCAAGGTATCTCTGTATGTAAATTTTACTAACCTCAAAATGAAATTTAGCATTTTCTTCAATCATGAATAAAATAACCCAGTCTTCTGAGAAGGGGTTCCCTGGGCTTCATCAGACTGCCAAAGAGGTCCATGGCACAGAATAAAGGTTAAGAACCCCCAGCTCCAAAATGTATTTGGCCATTCCTGGCAAAGGCAGATGTGGATCACTAAAATTTGGTGCCCACAAAATTCATCTGTCTCTACACCCCAACTATATTAAAGTGGCCTTTTAAAAGTGGTTATATACTTCATCAATACAACTGCAGTACTGGTAGTGAGAGGGGGAAGGAATAATGGGGGAAGAGAAAGGAAAAGGAAAAACCAAGGAAATGGAGTAGGAGACAAATTTCCCCCTCTCTTCCCAGATGAATCAGGTAAAGGGTAGAGCAGTGCACATGCTATGATAAAATGAGGCTAAACAACCAAAAATATTGAGTTAGCTAATGATATCAGTATGGCTGCTTACTTCTGAGAAATATGCATGCGCTGCTAATTTCAATACCTGTAATAAGCATTTAAGTGAGTTATGTTAATACGTTTTATCATAATGCTATAATTGAGCCACATTTTTTATTTCATAGCTCATAAGTATCAAGAATTTTCTATTTGCTTCAAGCATAACTGATACAGTTCTAAAAAAGGGTTAAATATTGAGATACCTAATATTTGATGCTTATTCACTTTTACCAGAAAGGAAATGTTTGAGAGTTGATTTCAGATTTTTTTGTGTGTATCATGGTGTAGTGGAAAGAGCACTGAATTTAGCATCAAAGGACTTGACTTTGAATCCCGTTCCTGCCTCTTATTATATGTGTGATCTTGGGCCAATCACTTACTTATTCACTCTGAGTCTCTTTCCTTTTCTGTAGAAAGATGGCGTTGTACTAGATGACCTCACAATTCCCTTCCAGCTCTAAATTTACATTCCTGTGATCCAGACCTAAAGTTTCACTGGTGTGGGGAATTCCCTATACTAACACAGATCGGAAACCTGCAGTTCTAGAGAGTTGTGGTCCAAGGTCACATAGCCAGTGTGTGACTCTAAAGCCAGCTCTCCATCCTCTATGCTACGTCTCCAGAATTTCTTCAGAAACAGAAATGGAAATTTCCTATAGGATTTAAACCACAGAATCATATATTTGGATCTGAGAGGAACTTTAGAGGCCTGTATAGTCTAATCCCATCAATTTACAGATGAGGGAACTGAGACCCAAAGAGATTAAGTGACTTGCCCAAGGTCTCATAGTTAAAAGGCTGCAAAGCCAGTATTTGAACTCAAGTCTTTGCCTCAAAGACCACAGCTGTCTCTAATATAGCAGGTTGATGATCCCTCTAAGAAAAAATATTTTTAAAGGATTTTTCCATAGATAAGGAAATATACTCAGTTCCAAAAATCATATTAGGATTATAGACTTAGAATTGGAAAGGATCTTAGAGGTCATCTAGTCCAATTACCTCATTTTACAAATGAGGAAACTGAGGCTAAGAGAAGATAAGTAACTTGCCTAGGGTTAATTAGCCAGAAAGTATCAGAGGCAGGATTTGAACTTGGATTTTTCTGACTCCAGAACTCTATCTCATATATAGCCCTAAAATTTCCATAACAAGAATCTGTTTAATAGCACCTCTGTTTTAGTCTGACAATTGGAAATACCAAGGTTGATCTCAGAATGATCTGGGACACAATCAAGCAGACATCCAAGTATTTGGGCCCTCACACATGCACTAATGATATATATTTCCCTTAACTCTTCAGGACATGCAGTTAGAAGTAAAGGTGCCAAGTTTAAAGGCTTTGAATGAATCTGAAACATTTTAACTACTGCCCTAAGGAGTTACAGACCAACAGCTGACATTACATGCAAGATGGAAAACTCTAGCAGAGCATAGAGTATGTGGTTTACAGACAGGGCAAGGTCTCCTTGCCTGATGCCTTACACGCAATGAGCTTCCAAAGAGTACATTCAAGACTTTTTTAACCATCTCCTATCTATCTTTTACTTTTCCAGCTTCCAAAAGTATACAAAAGGATATAGCAAGAAAATGAAGATTATTTTCTCTTACCATTTTCATCTACAGCAAGGACGCAAGCTCCCTTGGCCAGCAGCTCTTCAACTACCATCTTTAGGCCATTCCGTGCAGCAATATGGAGAGGTCTACAAAACATAACAGCTTCAAGGCTGACTTCCAAAACCTACCTTAAAGAATAACTTTCAAAATAAAAATATTATCTGTGTCATAAGAAGTGGAGGGGAAAGGATATTTGGAAACCTTTATCAAACAACCCATAATACTGAATTTGAGTTCTACTCTAGGCTTTCTTATGATGTTTGCTGATATAACTTGTTACAGATGATAATGATCAATTTATTCTTCCAATTTATGCCTAGATCCTCTGATAGAAAATGAATGGAATAGATTTCAGGTGGAAATATGCTCTCAGAAAATCCTGATGACAACAGAAATGAAGAAACTCTTTCTATGGCCAAAGGAGGAAGCCTAGGTCACATTTTTTAATGTATTAAATATCAGGCTACCATGTATCTTCTACGATGTCTTTTTCACCCTGATAAATGTCATGCCATTTGAACGGCTTTATAAATAATACTTTATAGGTGATAAATACTAATAAATAATAAATACTAACAATAAATCTAATGCCAATAATAAATACTAATAATAAATAAACACTTTACAAATAAATACACGCTGGTTCCAAAAATAGAATACATAGAAATAATATAATACTCACTTGATAGAAAGGGAATAGAATGCATGAAAATGCAACATGACATTGTGGAAAAAGACAAACAATAGGCTTGGGTTCAAGTATTGGTTCTGCCACTAACTCTTGGTATCACAGATCTCTCATTGCCTTAATCCCATAATCTTCAAAATGGAGACAACAACATCTGTACTATTGTTTACTCAAAGGATTTTTGTGAGGATAATAGAGATATATATGTAAAATGCTACAGAAAGGTCAGCCATTACTGTTAAATAATTGCTAACTTGTAAGAAGTTCTTAGAGGATTTCCCCCCCTCCTTTCAGACATAGGGGAAAACAGCAGATTGTTAGTAAGGATTTGATCTAGCATTATGTAGCTTCAGAGCCAGTAAGTAGGTTGTCCAGTCATTCAGTTGTGTCTGATTCTTCATGACCTCATGGACCATAGCATGCCAGGCTCTTCTGTCTTCTGCTGTCTCTCCAATTCTAACCAAGTGTGCATGTTGCTGTTTACATTTTCTGACCTGAAGCTTATTTCTGATGCCATCTCTTTTATCCTTTTAGTACTATCCATGGTGTTTTCTTGACAAAGATGCTGGAGTGGTCTGTCATTTCCTTCCCCACTGGATCACCTTTTGTCAGAACTCTCCACTATGACCTGTCCATTCAGTTCGAGTCCCACTTCTAATACATACTGGCTGTGTGAACCTGGGAAATTCACTTACACATAGTATTCTAGGCAAATCTCTAGGACTATAAATTGCATGGAAGGTGCTGGCCTACATCAGTGAAAGATGTTTTCTTAACTAGGACTTCCTTATACCAATGAAATCACAGATCTGGTTCCTATCTTTGCCCCCTAAACTGTAGGAAGCACAAGGCTACAATGTTAACCCCAAGCATCCTTTACTATATCACTGTTTTAGATTCTCAAATTTGAAAGAAATTCTTTTTTCATAATTTTTCATAATAGTAGATTGCATTACATCCTTCTCTTCTCCTCCTTTCTATATCTCAAAACCCATTACATTGTCATTTATTCTTTCTTTCTTTACTATGTCTCTGATGAAGAGGGGTGGTCTTTCTCCTTGACAAGGCCAATCTCTCTCTCTCCATGCTTTTCATGCCATGCCTTCCTCATTTCTTCAGCAGATTATCTATATAATTATGCTTCCCTTCTAATTTTCTCTCTCTCCCAACCTATTGCTTCTTTCTCCACTATCCTGAAAAAATCGCAGACTGCACTGTGCTATCTCCTCAAAATACTGTTCTACATCTCTCCTCCTATTCACAATCAATCTCCTTGAAAAAAAGATGCCTACATGAGTCTCATTGCCCCATTTCTTCTCCTCTCCTGGGCCCTCTTCTCTTTTTACTCTCAGGTCACATGGGTTTAATTATCATCTCAATTGGGGAATGGCTGAACAAGCTATGGTATATTAATGTAATGGAATACTATTGTGCCATAAGAAATGATGAAAGGGATACATTCAGAGAAATCTGGGGGCACTTGTATGAGCTGAACTGAAATGAACAGAACCCTGAGGACAATTTATATTGTAATAACATTTCAAAGACAAGCAACTTTGAAAAACTTAAGAACTCTGTTCCCTGAAATTACCAACAATGATTCCAGAGAACTGATGAAGAACAATGATCCTCATGTTCTGATAGAGATGTAATGAACTCAAAATTCAGGATACACATTGTTGGATGTGGACAAGCAAAAATTTGTTCTGCTTGACTGTATGTATATTTGTTACAAAAGTTTTCTTTTTTTTCTTTTAAATTGGAGTTAAGGTTGGAAGGAGACAAAATAAATGTTAATTAAAAAAATTAAATGAAATTAGAAAGTCAAATTAACAAAAAAAATCCTCTCTAAGCAAATGCTTTATGGTCTATATATCTAGCCCCAGTCTCTCTCCCAAGATCTAGTCAGCCACTACCAAGTGTCTATTGGACATTTCAAACCGGATGTCTTGGAGATACTCAAACTCAACATGTCCAAAACAAAAATCCTTATTTCCCTCCCCAAATCCATCCCTCATCTAAACTTTGCTATTTCAGTCCAGGCCAGTGCTATACTTCCATTCATCTAGTTTCCTAACTGTGGCATCATTCTTGACTCCTCACTTTGATTATGTTATGTGGTCATTGATCATTTTGTCATTCTATTTCCATAATATCTCTTGCATCTGTTCCCTTCTCTATACACCCATGGGTATTTACTGAACCCTAGTTCAGGCCTGCATTACTGCTTGCCTAGACTAGTGTATTAGCCTCCTGACTTGTCTCTCTGCCTCACGTCTCTTCCCACCCTAATATAATACTCAGCTGCCAGGGGGATTTTCCTTAAGTATGGGCATGACCCTACACAATAAACTCTCTTTTGTTTATCAGATTAAATATGAACTCCTCAGTTTAACTTTTAAAGCCCTTAACATCCTACTTTTCCAACTTTATGATATATCATTCCCCTTCCTACATTCTATGGCCCAGCCACCCTGGATATCTTGCTGTTTCTCACACCTCACATTCATCTCTGGTCTTTTCATCTTTACACCAGCTGTCCCACATTCCTGGAATGAAGTACCTGACCTCTACCTCTCAGAATCTCTTCTTTCTTTCAAAACTCTATTCAAGTAACACTTTACATATGAAGCATTTTCTGCTTTCCCAACTGTTAAATGTATCCTCCCAACTTATCATTTATTTAGTTTACATACATTTTTATATACTGATTTCTCTACTGTTGTTTCTAATGATAGAATGCAATCTCTTTGAGGGCAGAAACTATTTTATTATTGTCTTTGTACTGCCAACACTTAGCATAGTGCCTAACACAGAGCAGGTGCTTAATAAACGCTTGCAGGCAGTTAGGGGGCACAGTGGATAGAGTGATAGGGCTGGAGTCAGGAAGATCTGAGTTCAAATCTAACTCCAGACACTTATTACAGGCCTGCACACCATATTCCTCTATATTTTTTTGCAGGCCACCCAAAATCCTTTGGCATAGCACAAGCGGCTTGCAGGCTGCAGGTTGTACAGGCCTGATTTATTACCTGTGTGACACTGTTCAAGGCACTTAGCCTCTGTCTTACTTCAGCTCTTTTGGCTGAAAAATGGAGCTAATAATAATAATACCTACCTCACAGGGTTGTTATGGGATCTGCTGAGATAATATTTGCAAAATACTTAGTACAGTGCCTGTCTACATCCTCGTTCCCCCACCCTACCCACAAATGTTTGTTGAGTGACAATACAATTGTCAAAGTGATTTCAAACAACTAAAAATCAAGCAGTTTTCAGCTATTTCACATTAATTCAACTGAAATTTATTAAGACCTACATTGCGGAAGCTTTTCATGTCTCCTTGGGAAGAAAGGAAACATAAAATCAGCATTTTTCAGCAACACACATGCTAATACTAGATTTAGATAGAATATTGGATTTGGAGTGAGAAGTTCTGGGTATGACCATTGGCTATGTTTTTTACTACCTCTGTGTCCTTGGGCAAGTGGCTTAGCCTCTCCAGGCATCAGTTTCCTCATCTATAAATTGAGAGAGGTGGCTCAAATGACTTCCAAGGTCCCTTCTGGCTTTGAATTAATGATCCTATGATAATACAGTTATGCAAGGAGTTTCCCCAATGGAGAAGTATTAAAAATTAATAAGAACTCCACAGAATTTCCTAGAGAGAACTCAGTGTTACTAGATTTGAATTAGGACACCTCCTAAAATGTTTTAAGTGAGGCCAACCTTTACAGCTCCCAAGGATAACAATAGCTGATATTTCCCCCCTGCACCTTGAGATTTGCAAAGTGTTTTCCATCTTTTAATTCATTTGATCCTCACAACAACCTTGTCAGGTAGACAATAATATGGGTGACCTAGTGTCTGAACATTGTATTGCTTTGCATGTCTTAAAACATGGTGTTCTTGATCTGGCCACCTGACTTTTGCCATCTTCTGCTCATATTTCCATTTGCCATAAGTCACTGCGTGCCCACATTATGTTCCATATGCCAAAATGAGCATATAGCATTAACTCAATTATATGAAAGATCAGAGAGGAAGTTCTTTGAAGACACATAACACAGTTATTATTATCTCCATTTACAGATGAGGAAATAGGTTCCAAAAGCTTGTGACTTGTCTATACTCATAAAATTAGTAAGGGTCAGAGAATTCAAATCCAGGTCACTCTACCCCAAATTTAGAATTCTTTTTCTTCCATAAATGACTGAGTATATTGAAAGAGTAAAATCACAGCAGCTGGTACTTACGTTTGCAGTGTATTATTTGTTGCATTAATAAGGCTCTGTTCTTGTATCTTGTCAAGTATTAACAAGGCACATTTTTCATGACCCTAATAAAGAAAACAAATATATAAAAATGGTAAAGAATGCTAGATAGATGGGAAATAACCTTATGGAGGAAATTGTTAACTTGAGACTTCAAATTTAAATTTAAAAATTTTAAATGATTTCATTGTCTTGAAAAACCTAAGGAAGATACTGGAACAAATGGGAGAAAGTTGCCTGGGCATGGATATAGTACATGCTTTAAGAGTCAGACACAAGCCCACTAAGATTTACTTGTTAGATATCTATAGTAGCAGGATGAATTATAGGAAAACGACATTTCTGAACTAACATTTAGCATTAATCATTTGGGCAACCAAAGGAGAGGCAAGCTCAGATTATTAAGGTCCTATAATGATTAGAGTTGAGAATAACCTAGAATTCTTTCAAGGATACTTTCAGTATATAAATTCTTCCTGTTTCACAGTCTTCTTTCTCTGACTATACCATCCTATAATGGACTACGAGGGTATTTACTGTCCTTGTCATTTATCTAGCATTTATATTATGATGTAAATTAATGGTCTTTTTATAGTCATAGGTCTCGCTGTCTCAGTCAGACTGTAAACATTTGGAGAGAGAGAACGTCTTTATTTATTTTCTAATTACAAATAAAAATGATTTTAACACAGTTTTAAAAAAAAATTTGAGTTCCAAATTCTTTCCCTCTGTCCCTCCCTTCCTCCCTCATTAAGAAGGCAAGTAATTTGATATAGATTATACATGTGCAGTTAGAACACAGCCTTTTTTTTTTTAATTTGCCCATGGAATCTAGAAGAGTAACTTGAAGGTAGTAATGCAAAATAAATACCTGTTGATGGTTTTGACAGTTACAGTATTATAAGATTTCAGGCCTTTCACCCTTTTTAGGGTAGAAATGATGAAATGCATAAGAAAGGTGCTTAGTGAAAAAAAAACCCCAACATTTTTTGAAGTGGTCACAATATTTTCAGTATTCTATTTATTTGCTTCATAGTAGAATTGTTTTAGGCTACATTTAGACAATACTATCTGCTGAAGCCCATGAATCCAAGTGGAAATGTTTGCCCTCTGAAGAAGCATCTGACCGTATCACCAAGGTTTTCATGTACCCTCAGTCCAAAGTAGCGTCTACACGTCTGAGGCAATGAATGAGAAATGCTGCAACGGCAATCAGCCTCCAGGCTGCGTGCAAAAGTTGACAGGGTTCTGTGGTCTTTTATGGATTCCACTTCACTCTAAATTCATCTTTAAAAGTGGCAGCATTTTGGGAAATCGATATCCTGACCTAAGGATATTCTGACCCATCCTTTAAGTGTTCTGATACACAGATACAAATAACATAATTTCTAAAATGTATTTACATACTTTACTACAAGCCAAATGTAAGGGTGTGTTCAAGTCCTTATCCTTTACAGTCAGATCAGCCTTGGCACTGTTCACCAAAAGATCTAAGAAAAGAAAAAAAAAACCAAACAAACAGGGTTATTGGCACCAAATGCTAATCAAATACAATTTGAAGAAGTTATTAAAAATAATACTATGATAAAAGCAGTACGCACAGGCATAACCCACAAGACATTGTTCTGGCCAACAATATCATTAATAAATTATAATATAAAGTCAGGATTGCTTATTTATAAGACTATGAACTATAGTTTATGAAACTATATCCCTCTAGCACTATTTTATTTCACAGCAAGTTTTCATGCAAACGCCTGATGTCAGGTAGCATTTGCCCATAATCAGATACTGTATATTAGGTGGGAAAAAAGACACTGATTGTACCCAGTGATGCCAGGCATTAATGTTAAATAACAATTGTTTCTTTTCAGAATAATGTTACTAAGGGGTTTTATTTGCTTCTTAAAATATGGTGAAGTGGTATCTAACTCAGAAAGAAACAGGAGCCACTAAACTGCACCTAAGGATCTTTGTGGGCCTCATACTGTCTTAGAAAACCACATTTATTAACATGATCTATGTTCTAATGTATTTTTATTTCTTTTGTTAAATATTTCTCAGTGTATTTCAGTAAGTTTTGGGCTGCACTTGGGAACATTGTGGGCCACAGTGTGCCACCTATTTTCACTTTTGGAGGTTAAGGGATTTGCCCAGTGTCACACAACTAGTAAGTATCTGAGGCCAGATTTGAACACAGGAAGATGAGTTTTCCTGACTCTAGGCCCAGCACTCTATTCACTGTGCCACTGAGCTGCCCTCGGACCGTCATCACCTCTTGCCAATTTCAACGACTTACAACTTGGTCTCTCTGATTCTCTTTGTATTCCAACCCACACAGCTGCTAAGGTTATTTTCTTTAAGCTCAGATGTGACCATGTCACTTCTATATCCACTAAATCCCCGTATCTCTCTATTGCCTCTAGGATAAAATATTGCCTCCATTTAACTTTTAAACCTCTTCATAACCTGACCTAAGCCTGTTTTTCCAGCTTCATTATATATTATTTCAATTCTTGCATGCTACCATCAAGCCAAACTAACCGTTACTCTGTTCTTCATACATGACACTCCATTGTCCTTGGTGTCTTTGTGCTGGTTTTACCCCATGCCCGATATGCAATCTTTCCTCACCTCTGCCTCACAAGATATTTCATTTCTTTCAAAATAGAGCTCAAAGGCTTCCTATATGAAAACTTTCCTGTTCCCACAACCCTTAGTGCCCACCCTCTCTAAAGTACCTTGTATTTATTTTATATTTATTATACATAGATATTTATTCTGTATCAACTTATACATATACAAGTTGCCCCCCCCCCAACAGAATGTAAACTTCTGAGAGCAGGAATTTTTTTTTTTGGTCTTTGTATCCCTAGTACCTGACACAATGTCTGGCACAGAATAGCCGTTTAATAAATGCTTATTGATAAACTGTGTTAAAAAAAAAGAGTTATCAATAAAATATTTTCTTATACTTGTAGTGGTCTTACTGTAGAAAGGTCAATTCACTTCCATTATTCCATAAACAATCAAGAAATTTAAGAGGGTAGCTATAGTAAATGGAGTCAAGTGGCTTTTGTGAGTTAGCCAGGTCAAATCAATGTAACTGAACCTTGAGGACAGGGAGAAGGTAGATGTAGCCAATATTTCCATCTGGCCCAGGACTAGCTTATATATTAAAGCAGAGAAGAATAATGGTAGTTGCAGGTATACTGGCTTAACTCGTAAGACTGCTGTGGACTAGTGAGTTCTGATGCACTGCTGATTCCCCAGAAGAGCAAGAAAGTGTGTTCCTAGGTATGTCTTATTGCCTGAGTCCATATTATTAAATTGCCTCAAGTTTGGGGTACTTATTGTTTCACCAGCTGGTAGAGCTAGGATTTTGTGCATGAAGGTCAGAGAATATTTATTGGCACCTGAAACACTTTTCTGAGGCCAATCATTATGAGAGGTATACTATCTAGGAGTACAAAGCTAGAAATCCCGCTCTCCTCCCCCCCAGGTCAGACCACATCTGGAAAATTGTGTTCAGTTATGGGCAATAAGTTTTAAGAAGGACATTAATAAGCTGGAAAGCATCCAGAGAAGGAATATTGGGATGTTCAAAGACTTTAAGATCATGCTGTATGAAGGTTGAATAAGTGAACTGGGAATGCTTAATCTGAAACATCCTATTCCCCAAGGGCTGAAATGATTTTTGTCCTGAAGTATTTGTCTTCAAGTTGTCAAATGAAAGAGGGAATAGATTTCTTGGCCCTCAAAAGCAGACTTAGAACAATAGTTGCAAGCTGCAAAGAGGCAGATTTAGGCTTAATATAAGTAAACACTTCCTAACAGATTTATCCAAAAATTAAATTGGCCGGTCCAAGAGGTAGAGTGCTTCCTCTTGGATGAGTTCTTGAGTTGAATGCTGGTTACCCATTTGTTAGGCATGATGCTCTTATAGTGAGGTCTTATAGTGCTGAGATTCTATGGCTCCTGCAAGGCATGTGTGGTAAGTAAGAGTTTAAACCTGCTAACCATAGCTGCCATTCTGTAAACCAACTGAAACAAAACCAGCATCTTTAATGAATAACAAAATCATCCACCAGGGTTGCACCAAGAGCACCACATATGATGGGTTGTAACTGAATTTTCCAGTTTAACTTCTTTCATCATTTCCCGCAGGGTAAAAACAAAAACAAAAACCAACTCTGGCAAACCAATACATACCCACAGCACCTGCCTGCCCATTCTCAGCTGCCATCATGAGTGGTGTTTTCCCTGAATTATCTACAGCATTCACTTGTGCATTGTGGCTTAAAAGGAGCTGTAAGCATTCCACATGATCAGCAAACGCTGCAGCATGAAGTGGGGTTCTGAGGATTTAAAAAATATATATATATTCTTACTTAAACATAATGGACTGTTATTTTTATCTCTTCTGAGTAAATATGAACCTTTTATCTTTCATCTTGAGAATTTAGAACTGATGACTTTATAAGAGTAATAATGCCATCTTTAACCATACTTTGATTAAATCACTTTTGTCTTTGTTCTCTCTTTGTTAGACATATGATACTAAAATAATATTAAGAAAAAGATAAGATTAAATTTAAGATAACGATTGATTCAAGTGCTTTGAAAATTAAGCCATGTCAATTGTTTTGGTCATGAATTTAGACTAAATAACTACTGTGATGCTCTGAAAAGAGAGACTAGGATTCATTAAGACACAAAGAAGAGCTACTTACCGTCCCTTGTCATCTCTACAATGGACAATGCTGGGGTCTATGGCCCCAATAAGCAGTGATGCACAATTTTCATGGTCATTAATTCTAAAATAGAAACATTTTATCATTACCTTTAAATTGGCAAAAAAAAATTGTTTCAAAAGTACCTCTATAAGGTTTCATTATTTGCAAAGAATCAGATGAGTTCAAGTCTGATTCATATCATCCGCTTATTCAATAAACTCCAATGGGTGCCTACTGCCTCAAGAATAAAATTTTAAAAATCCTTGTTTACTTTTAAAACCTTTCATAATATCACCCCTTCCTGCCTTTCTAGTCTTCTTACACCTTATTCCCCTCCACATACTCTGTGATCTAGTAACACTGGCCTCCTTGTTGTTCCTTGCACAAGACACCCCATCTCCCAATCCTAGGCATTTTCACTGCTGTTCCCCATGCCTGGAATTCTCTTTCTTCATCTTCTCTTCTTGCTTCCTTAGCTTCTTTCAGGTCTCAGTTAAAATCCCTACTGCATGAAGCCCTTCCTGATCCCCATAATACTAATGTCTTTTGACCGGTATTATCTCCAAAAATTGCCTGGTAAAATCTTCAAAGTACATATCTTGTTTTTACATAATTGTTTGCACGTTATCTCTTCCATTAGACTTTTGGGTTCTTTGAGAGTGGAGGCTGTTTTTTTTTCTGCCTTTCTTTATATACGCAGAACAGTACATGATAAATTGTAGGTAGTTAACAAATACTTGCTGATTTGATTCAAAATGAAATATGCTTTGCCTCTTAAAATGCCTATGTTTCCCCCATTCACTGCAGAATTCAGAACATTTATGCGTAATTTCAGTTTTGCCTTTTTGGAGGGTTAGGGAATCTGTGTTATAGTGGAAAGAGTAGCAGATTTGGAGACAGAGGACCTATGTTTAAATCGTCTCTGCCATGACTTGTCAGTTGGACTAGTCATGTAAACTCTCTGGGTCTGTTTCCTCATCTATAAAATAAAGAGATCAGACTAAATGGATCTCCAAATTTCCTTTAGGCTCTAGATCTATGATCCTGAATTCATCAATGTGAAACTCCCTCCACCAATGCAGAAGGGTAACTCATCAATCAATACATTAACAAGCACTGATTAAGCACCTACTAAATACTGAGCACTGTGCTAGGCACTTGGGTTACAAATACAAAGCTGGAACAAGTTCTGCCTTCAAGAAGCTCACATTTTTAATAGAAGAGATAACACATACATACACGTCAACTCCTTAACATAGGAGTTGACTCAAAAGTGCCTCAATACAGTTTTGCATTTTAATAGTTTTAAAAATGCACTAAGACTTTTGGGACATCCTCTAAATAGTCACTTAAAAGGGATATATTTCAGTTTGCCCACTTGATTTCTACAATTTAGATTATGTATACCAACAACATAAACTTATCTGTTTTTAGCCATAGACTGTAATATACAACAGGTCATGTTAAAGATGGCCTCCTCTCCTAACTGCAATAAGTCAATTTCCCTCATATACCTTAAAATAACAAAACAACAATTATATTAACATCTAACATTTATACTCACACAGCACAGTGCAATGGAGTGAAGGGATTACCATTAAATTTGCGAAAACATTTTTGTTCCAAAAGTACCTCTATACAGTTTTCATTCCCTGCAAAGAATCAAATGCTTTCAGTTACAATGTCTAGAGTTGTTAAGTATCTTCTAAAACCATAAAAAACCCTGAATACATAAATACTGAATTTTAGTTCATAGTTCTTACTGTTGGACTGACTGTAAATATTCTCTGTGAAATAAAAAACCTAAAAGTTAAAATGCTATTAATTCTGCTCAGAGATGTTTTGAAACTCTCAGAACAAAATTAAAACAAGGTTTGTATAATTTGATCTCCTAGAAAAGTAGCTTCATTTTTGCATCAATCAACGTGTATTTATTAAGTGCCTAGTATGTGTCATGCATTGTATGAAGTGCTGGGGATTAAAAAGACTAAAACCAAATAGTCTTTGTCCTCAATGAGCTTACATTTTAAGGGAGGAGGGAAAAAGAGTTTTGGTTATTTATACCAGCCAAATCAAATTTTTTCATTATATTGATGCTAAAATGCTTTAAAAATATAACCACAGTATATGATTATGATGGAATACTATTGTGGCATAAAAATGATGAGCAAGATGATTTTGAAAAACCTGGACTTACATGATTCATAGTGAAGTGAGCAGAACCATTGTACACAGTAAAAGCAATATTGTACAATGATCATCTGTGAATGGTTTAGCTATTGTCAGCAATACAACGATCCAAGATAATCCCAAAAGACTCCTGAGAATGAACTCATGAGGTCTGAATACAGCCCAAAGCATACTATTTTTCTCTTTCTTTCTGTCTTTCTTTTCTTTTCTTTTCTTTTGGTTTGAGTTTTCTTCCACAAAATGACTAATATGGAAAAATATTGTACATGATTGCACATATAAAGCCTAGATCAGATGACTTAATGTTTCAGGTACAGGGGAAGAAAAAAAGGGAAGGACGGCATTTGGAACTCAAAACTTTTAAAAAATGTTAAAAATTGTTTTTACATCTAGTTGGGGGGAAAATAAATTATATTTTTTAAAAAGTATAATCACAGGGAGTCAGAGGGGTGAGGTAGAAAGAATGCAGGATTTGGAGTATTCAGATGCATAGGAGGAGCATCAGGAGCGAGCATTACCACAAAAATCTATAGAAAAGAATATCGGGATGAGGGACAGCAGCGTGAAAGACTGCGCAGAGGTCAAGAACAATGAGCATTAGGAAAAGGCCATTAGATCTGGCAACTGAGAGATTACTGATAATTCTGGAGAGAGTTTTTTCGATTGATAAGGTCAGAATCCAGACTATAGAGAGTTAAGAAGAAAGTGAGAGGAAAGGAAGTGGAGACACTCGAGACTTCATTTTTAGCCATGAAAGAGAGGAGAAATATAAGATAATAGTTAGCAGGTTTAGACAGGTTTTTTGAGGATGAGAGAGACATGGGCATGCTTGTAGGTAGTAGGAAAGTAGTCAATAGATGGGGTAGCTAGGTGGCTCAGTGGATAGAGTGCTGGGCCTGGAGTCAGAAAGACTCATCTTTGTGTGTTCAAATCTAGACTCAGACACTTACTAGCTATGTGACCCTGGCCAAGTCACTTAACCCTGTTTACCTCAGTTCTGAATCTATAAAATAAGTTGGCAAACCACTTTAGCATCTCTGCCAAGAAAACCCCAAATGGCGTCACAAGGAGATGGACACAACTGAGAGATTGAAGATTAATGAAAGAGTGATATGATAAATAAAGCAATCAGCTGATAGAAAGGGATACTATATTTTAAAAGTTCATTAATAAAACCTGCTGAGATCTATGAGGGCCAAAGGACAAAGAAAAGATAAAGAATCTACTGATCTTTTGAAAGGAATACCAAAATTTTAGGAAAGTCACAGCCAAAATCTAGAGTTTCCACATCAAAGAACCAATACTACAGGCATCCAGAAAGAAGCAGTTCAAAAGTACCAAGGAATTGCAGTTGGTACCACACAAGATTTTGCAGCTTCTACTAAACACCAGAAGAGATCATGGAATAGGATATTCTAAAAGACAAAAGAAATATGCTTACAATTAAGAATAACTTACCTTTTAATACTAAGTATAAGTCTACAAAGGAAAAAAAACATTGGACCTTTAACAGACTAGATAACTTCCAAATATTCTTGATGAAAAGACCAAAGCTGAATAGGAACTCTGAAACACAAACACAAATCCAGAGAAACCAAGAAAGTAAACGTATTTGTGCAACTGGAAAGAGTTGTATGACAACACTAATGGGGTGAGAAGAAACAAGTGTCCCTTCAGAGCTTAATGTCTTCAAAAGGTATTGAAGAAGTCAAATGAGAAAAACAGAGGTCCTGGGAAGGAATGGTTCTGTTCTGAGGATTTTAAGATGGAAAAGAGAAAGCAGAGTAAAAAGAGAAATATGTTAAAGTAGTTAGCAGTTGAACTTGCTAGTTCTCATAATTAGGGTGCATGACAAGAAGAATATACGAACACATAGGAAGGAGAGATGGAGGAGTGGCAACCAGATGAAACAAATTCTTATCTAAAATGGACAAAAGAGAGTTGAGCATATCTCCAGTACACATACATACAGTTTGGTGCAGAAATATATCAACCCAATAGGGATACAAATGGAGATAGGGGAAAGAGAAGTTTGCAGGGCTCAGCAAACTATGGCTTATAGGGTAATCCATCTGTTTTTGTATAACCCAGGAGCTAAGAATGGTTTTTATATTTTTAAATTAAGTTTAATTGCTTTAAAAAATATACAAATCATCCTTAACTCACCACAGAGTTTGGCCCTTGAGCCATAATTTGCAAACCCCTGCTCTAGAGAAAAGATAAAACCAAGGAATTAATAGCTGCAAGCAAAACAAACTCCCTCATCCTAAGAGGGAGGATTAAAAGTGAGGGAAAGAATTAGAATTTAAGAGAGTGCCTTAAATTGTCTGAGGGCCTCAGACAATTGGGTAATGGCTGAACAAATTGTGGTATATGAATTTAAAGGAAATTATTATGCCTTAAGGAATGTTGAAAGAGATGATTTCAGAGAATCCTGGGTAATACTTGGAAAGACTTGAGAATGCTGATCAGAGCATGACCATCCATGTCTCCAGAGGACCTATGATGAAGCATGATAGCATGATACCAACCTCCTAGTAGAGAAATGATGTACAAAAGGTGAAGAGACATACTTTTTGGATGTAGCCAACTGGGTGGATTTCTTTTGTTTGACTTATTTGTTGCAAGAGTTTTCCCCCCTTTCTTTTCACTCAGTTCATGTTTGGGGAGTTCAGCAGGGTAAGGATTAATAATAATGATAAAAAAGGACCACTGAAACATTTTTAAAAAATGCACAGAGAAGAAAAAAAGGAACTTCAGAAGGCAACAAAACAAGCAGGGCAGTTTTGGAAAAAAATTTGTGAAAAATGGAGATTCACTTTCATAAAAAAGCCCCTTTTTGTGTTCTGCTGTGTGTATGGAAATGCTTTTTTGAATATTTAAATTCAGAGTAAAAATAAAATAAAAAATAAATTAAAGAGAAGCAAGTTTTGTCTCAACAAAAGGAGGAACTTTCTAATGAGTTGAGGTAATAATAATAAAGCTGAAATTTATGTAACAATCTAAGGTTTGCAAAGCACTTTACAAATATTACCTAATTTTATTTTGACAATAACCCTGGGAGATAGGTACAACTATTACCCCCATTTTGCAAATGAGATAATTGAGGCAGACAGAAGCTAAGTGACTTGCCCAGGGTCACGTAGCTAGTAAGTGTCCGGGGCAGAAATTAAACTCAGGTCTTCCTGAATCCAGGTCCAGTGTTCTAGGTGTGTAGTAAGACCTAGCTCCCTCAAATAAAAAAAAAAAAAGAAGATACAGGAGGCCTTTGGAGGTAATAGGTTGATGGAAATGTTTGAACAGTGATTTGATGACCATTTTTTGAGGATGTTATTGTGGTGACCGACAATTCAGATAAGTGTAGCTTGTCTTCTAAATCTGAGATTCTGTGATTCCATTTTTGATTGCAGAATGTAGGCTACTTTACATGCTTTCTCAAACACACATGTTCTCACCATAACTTCTCTTCCAGAGATTGAGACTACTTTTCTTGACCTTTCAGAAGAAATCTGCCTGGGTCCCACAGGGAAAGCAGACAGACCGCCACAGATAATTCACTCACTGTTGTGTAGCTAATACCTATCATCTATGTCATAGCAAAACCATAGTGGCTTCTGGATTCTAAGTGAATTTTCTGGTTACAGGGGTCAACTTCTATGGAATAGGATTGGTTTAGAATTAGAACAAAAGGGGAAAAGTTACTTTGTAAATATATTGACCAAATTCATACAGATCAATGCAGGTCCTTCCTAAGATCAACATCGGCATAAAATTAGTGGCAGTCCAAATTCTAACTCTGATCTTAACTAATCTAGTTTGGATCTCAAAGCGTTTCTGAGACAATTTTAATAACTAGTTTAATAACAGATTTATGATGTTGTTTTTTTTCTCCCAAGTATAAGAAGTGATGAATTTCCACTAACGACCTCTTTGATGTCTCTTTGTGCTATAGATGTGGATTATCAAAGGACCTAGCAAACTGGAAAAGCTTCAGGTACACACCTAGCAACAGTCTGTCTTCAAGGATGACGATGAAGAAGAAGAACTAACAAATGTAATGTGCTTTAAAGTTTATAAAGAATTTTACAAGTATTATTTCATTTGATCCTTGTAACAACACTGCCATGTAGGTGCTATTATTATTATCATTTTACAGACCAGAAAACTAAGACAGAGAGTTAAGCGACTTGCCTACAGTCACACAGTTAATAACTATTTGAGGCTAATAAGTTTGAAAGAGGTCATCCCAAAAGGTTGGCCACAAGTTGATGAATTATTTTGGTTATAGGAACATGTAGGCATTGCCATCTGTATCAGTGGAGAGGAGAGAGAACTCAGACCAGTGAAATCAAGGACCACTGAAGTAGTGAAGAAGTGATGGGACTAAAAGAAAACAGTTTCATTATCTGGGAATGGACATAGGTAATCTCAGAACTATGGCAAGCTAAACCTATCACTGCTCTCCTTGCTAGCCCCAATTGTCTTCTTGTTAACTTTTCAACTTAGCTGACCTGAAGGACCTTTACTCAAGTCAGAATTCACATGCGTGGTTTTACAGTCTAGTTCATGTTACTAGAACATTTTTCACAGCTTATTTCAAGATCATAATGGTCCCAACATGTAACATGCCTGGGACCATCAACAATGCTGTGTCCTCCAGATACAGATGAAAAACTTACCGTTGTAACAAGCCCAGTGCAATGGAGTGTAACCTTGGTTATCTTTGAAACAGCAGTCTTCCTCTGAAAGTGCCATCTGCAATAACTCACTCAGCCACGTGGCATGGCCGCGAGCTGCTGCGAAGTGCAGGGGGGTCCTTCCTCGGAAATCCCTACACAGAATGGAGACTTCCTGTTCCAACAGCATTTGGACACATTCCTCATGCCCGGTCATGATCTAATGCAGAAAGATTAAACACAAGCAAAGAGGTTTTAAAAATGATAGAAAGCTCAGAGCCTAAGATGGTGGCAAGAACATGAGGTAGAAAATCCAAGAGTTAGTGCCCTTGAGGAAGAATAACCAGGCTCATAGGATGAGCACATGCACATCTACTTATCCAGGCCTCAAGTAAAGCATTCCCTGCAATAACTCAGAAAAGAGGAATGGGCAGAACTGAAGCATGATTTGTAACTGGAAGGTCATAACAGAAGCATTCAGGAAAACCACTGCCTCAACCATTCAGTTGGAAGTATCCTTTGATGGAAAGCACTTAGCTTTCTTCAAGGTGCTCAGGGCAGGATTTGGAGTTGGAAGGCCTGTGTTTGAATCCCAGCTCAACCACTTGCTACCTGTGTGACCTTGGGCAAATCACCTCACCTCTCTGGCTCTTGGTTTCCTCATTTGTAAAACGAAGGGAGATATGTGTGTGTGTGTGTTGTGTGTGTGTGTGTGTGTGTGTATGTGTATTTACATATACACACATATATATGTGTATACATGTACATGTATGTATGTATAATACATTGTAATTAAAAGCAGAATCACACCCATCTGCCTTACTTCCCCCTTGAAGAAAGACAAAACTTATTTCTCTCTCAGCAGCTGGCATAGTCATAATAATATTCACTTAATAAATACTTGTTGAATTAATCTAAATATAACTGTCATTACTTTCATCTCTGGAAGGATAAATTTCCTTTTGGCTATTAGGATAATATGTCATTTAAAAATTTCTACATTAAACATTCATTTAAAAAATAGTAAAAATGTTTGTGTAAAGCTCAGGAAGAATTCAGTCACCCCTCTGTGTAAAGCTGTGCATCCCATGAGGTCAACAGCATCTACATTTGCTTCTTTTTCAAGTAACAAAGAAACAGCATCAATATGTCCATAGGCAACAGCCAGCATCAGTGGGGTTCTAGAAGAGAGGAACAAATTAAGGTATTAATAACCAGATAAAAACCATTAATCATTTCCCAGGGGGAAGACACTGCTTTTGCCCCCCTTAATATTTTCTACATGTCCACAATGTGCCAAATGCTATAAAGATACAGTCTGCTTGTCTCTGAGCAGGAAGGACACCTACTTTAAAGCAAGTGCATATGAGGAGGAGGTGGAGAAGCCAGCAAGGGTATGTTGTATTAATCTGGTCTGTGCCAAAGGACATATGCTGTCTCCATCATCTTCAGAATCAGTTCATAGTTATTAAGGGCTCATTAATTGCATGGCATGGTAACACTGATACATACTGTACCATGGCCAACTATCATCCCTGAAAATGTGAGTGTCAGGGTTCATGGAAAGTCAAATAGTTACAAAGAAATGAACGTACTTGAGAGGACAAAGAAGAAGGGTTTACATTTCTTTTCTACAACTTTAAAATGATAACTATCTCTTTGGAATTGTTTTGGAAGAAGCCCTGGTTGATATGAGGAGGCAGGGTAGCCTAGGAAAGAGCAGTTGATTGGGAGGGAGACCAAGCATCTGAAGCCAGAATTGAATATTTATTCCACCACTAACTAATTATGAGTCACTCACTCTTGGTGGTGCAGTTTTCCCATCTGTAAAACAGGCATAAAAATATCTTCCTTCCACACAAGAATATTGTGATGAGGGAGAAAAACAGCTAAAGTAGTAGATGGAAGGCATTTTGAAAAAATAAAAGCATCATGCAAATACTAAGGATAATAGTCATGCTAGACTCTTGTTTAATGGTTCTAAGAATGGATTAATAGAAGCTTGAGGGGATGAAAAGAAAGCAAAACGGGGGAAGGCAGCAGCACAGAGGCGGCTTCTACCCCTCAGCTTTCACCCAGGTCGTTCTTCCAAGTATGTGTACTCTTCACCTCAAACCTAGGGTACACCAATCCTCATCCTAGGACTCTCTTTAGCAACAAACAATAATGGCAGTTACCACTGACATGTCACAAACCGTGGAGTGGAGAGCATGTCACTTACTGTCCTTTGGCATCTGTCACATCGACAATTTCTGGGTTGTCTGCAATTTCTAGTAACAGTCGTAAACACAGTGTGTGACCATTAATGACTGAAAAAAATTAAAATGAACATTCTTTCAGAAGACCAACATTATTACTAGCAACAATTACAACCACTTGCTTCACATAGAGCTTTGTATATTTAATCTAGGTGATTCTCACAACAATTCTGGGAGGTAAGAACTATTATTACCTTTGCTTTGCAGATGAGGAAACTGACTTACCCAAAGTTACACAACTACTAAGTATCTGAGGCAGAATTTGAATCTGGGTCTTCCTGACTCTAAATTCAGCACTCTATTATTGCACAATGATCCCCCTCTACAACATACACACAATATCCTTCCTCTGTCATGAGATTTATTTGAACACTTCTAAAAGCAGACTCCTTCCCAACAGTTTCTGACTTGTGTGTCTTCTCAATTCATCCTACCAAGACTGTTTCTTAGCACATACTATATTGACCCATTTTTCTTTATGCCCCAGGTTGACTGGATTCTTAGGAGTGTACCATTTTTGTTGGGTTGCTGGATTTGAATAAGTTCTTTCTTTGGTCTCTATCACATACATTCCTTAACTCTCCTCTGATGTTCTCTTCTGGGAAAGGCCATATCTTTCCACAATTCCCCCACTCCTCTCATTACTACGCCACTTAGGTTCCTGGACTTAATATAATTATCCTGTTTTCACTGTCCCCTGGTGCCTGATCAAAAGAGGAGACCCAAACTAGACTGCACTTAAATTAATATCTGATCTGATGATGGTCAAATCAGACACGTGGACACCTTATAGAAGAAGTATGATAAGCATAAGAATCCCTCAAATTGGGTAGGGTACACCTCTAAGTGCAGAGAGATTGTGGGAGAGAGGAACTCCATGCTCCCAGATAGCCACTGGGGTTGCCGCTGCTACTTCTGTTAGAGCAGCAGAGTGGGGAAGTGGACAGTGTTGGTCCTGCAGTCAGGAAGACCTGAAAAGACTAAATTCAATCTCTCCGTGGCTACAGGCTGCCTCCTTACAGTCTACAAACATGCACATACCTCCTCTATCTTCAAAACACCCTCACTTGATTCATCCATCTTTGCTAGCTATTGTTCTGTCTCTCTGCTCCCTTTTTGGCTCAACCCTTGGAGAAGACTGTCTACAATGGGTGACTCCACTTCATTTCCCCTCACTCTCTCTCACTCTCTACAGTTTGGCTTCTGATTTCATCATTCGACTGAAAATGCTCTCCCCAAAGTTACTAACAGTCTCTTAATGATCAAATCTAATGGCCTTTTCTCAAACCGTATCCTTCTTGCAATGCAGCCCTGGACACTGATGATTGTCCTTGTTATTCTTGTTATTCTACTTGTCCTTATATTCTGTTCTCTCTAGATTTTCATGAAACTATGCTCCCCTGGTTTTCCTCCTACCTCTCTGACCACTCCTCAATCTTCTTTGCTGGAGTATCATCCAGGTCATACCTGCTAGCTGTGGATATCTCACAAGGCTTTATCCTGGGCCCTCTTCTCTTCTCCCTCTGTACTACTTCACTTGGTGATCTCATCAATTCCCATGAATCCAGTTATAATCTCTATGCTTATGATTCTCAGATCTTTCTATCCAGCCCTAACCTCTTTCTTGCCCTCCAGGCTTATATCTCTAATATATCATCTAATAACTAGTAGTCCTATAGACATCTTAAACTCAACATGTTCAAAGCTCAACTCATCATCTTTTCCCCCAAACCATCCTCTCCTTACTAACATCTTTATTACTGTTGAAGGCATCACCATCTTCCTAGTTCCCCAGGCTCTCAACCCAGGTTGTACTGAACTCCTTACTCTCTATAACCCTCCATATCCAATCTGTTGCCAAGATCTTTCAGTTTTACATGGATAACATCTCTCACATATATCTTCTCTCCTCTAACACTGCCACCACCCTGGCACAAGCCATCATCATCTCACACATGGACTTCTGAAATAGCCTACTGGTCTGCCAGTCACAAATACCTCCCCATTCTAGTCCATCCTCTACTCAGCTGTGAAGGTAATCTTCATTAAACTCCAGTGGCTCCCTATTACCTCCAGGATCAAATATAAAACCGTCTTGTGTTCAAAAACTCTTCATAACCAGCTCCATCTTCCCATCCATCCTTTCTAGTCTACCTATACTTATACCTTTCCCATCCTACATATTCTGAGATACTATACCACTGGCCTCCCTCCTTGTTTCTTACTCAAAACATTCGGTCTCCCAGGTCTACATATTTTCATTGACTGTCCCTCAAGCCTCAAATGCTCTTCCTCTTCATCTCAGACTCTTGGCTTCTCTGGTTTCCTTCAATTTCCAGGTAAAATCCCATCTTCTTAAGCAATTTTCACAATCCCTCTTAATCCTAGTGCCTTTCTTCTGTTGATTATCTCCAAATTTTCTTTCATAGATCTTGTTGGTACATATGCGTTTGCATGTTACCACCCCCTGTAGACTGTGAGCTCCTTGACAGCAGGACTGTCCCTTTCTTTGAATTGCCAGTGCTTAGTACAGTCCTTGGCAGATAGGAGCTTAATAAATGTTTAGTGACTGAGTTCAGACAAGCTTGTTAACTGTGTGTCCCTGGGTAAGTCACTTAAGCTCCCTCAGCCTCAGTTTCCTTATTTGTAAAATGGGGATAATAATAGCACTCATCTTACAGAGTTGTTGTATCAAATGAGATGTAAAGCATTTCGTGAACTTTAAAATGCTGTATAAAAGATAACAATTATTGTTGTTGCTGTTGTCATAGACATTGTTACTACAGTTCCCTCAAGCTCTTAGTGTCTTTGTGCTTTATAGTGAGTGGAAGCCCTCAGGCATGATTTCTTTCCTGCAATGGACCGGGGTATCTTTTCCCATTTTCCTAAAATATATTTGCTGAGGACTATGTAACGCAAGAATAGGGATAAGGACTGGACTTGGGATGGCATTGGCATCAGGAACTCACAAGTGAGAAAATTTCCTCTACCAACGTAGGCTGACACCTTCTCTGCAACTTAAAGAATTTCCTAGGGACTGAGAAGTTAAGTGCTTCACCTAGGCTTACGGTCAGTATTGTCAGAAGCAGGCCTTCAACTCAGGTCTTCCTGGCTTTAAGGCTGATTCTATTCCTCACAAAACCGAACTGAAAGTCTTATGAAAGACCTATTGCCTTCTCCTATGGCTGAAAGGAGGGAGAAAAAAACCCTCTAAGAGCCTAAATACCTCCATTATCTTCTGTCTTCTTATATAGCATTAAAAAAAAAACCCAAACTATATTTGCTTTCATATAGGGAGGCAAAGATGTAGCTAGAGAAGGAAGGAAAGGCTATACCAGGGGTGGGGAACCTGTGGCCCTCTAGATCCTCAAGTGTGGCCCTTTGGCTGAATCCAAACTTCATGACACAATCTTTTATTTCTTTTATTAGGATTTGTTCCGTGCAGTTTGGATTCAGTCAAAGGGCCGCACTTGAGGATCTAGAGGGCCACATGTGGCCTCGAGGACACAGGTTCCCCATCCCTAGGCTATACCAATGGCCAGTTGTAAGTGGATTTTACAGCCCATTTTATCACAAGCCAGCTCTGCACTGATACTCATTTCACCCTATCATGTTCTTTGGTGACAATATACAATATCATCAACTCATTCATTGGCACTGCTCAAATTAACTTAACAAGAGCAAAACACACATTTTGAAAACAATTTAAAATCCCAAGACTCTGCAGTTTACATTGAGCTCATTTGCAAAGGCATTAGATGTCAGAGGCTCTGGGGAAGCTTTTCACTGCCCCAGGGGTAGCTAAAGTATAGCCCTCCTTAGGCCACTACTCTGTTTCCCCCTCCCCCCAAGCAAGGTGCCACAAGGCTGTCTGCCTGGTGATGGACTGTTTATTTATTTATTTTTAGCTAAAGCAAAACTTAAGAAAACCATCTGCTGAGGGTCAGAGGGATGACAATTTGCATTGGTGGAAGTGTGGTATAACCCATGATGATGAAATCATAGACCTTTTGAACTCTTATTGTAGTATTAAACCAGGCACCTCTGATGAAAGATTCAATAATATCTCAAAGACCCACAGGGCTTAATGTATGCCAGGGAGAAAACTGTCAGTACAAGGCTGACAGCTAAAGTAGCTCAGGGGATGGCTTCACAGAAACAGAGGAATAGCATATTTTGACGGGCTCTCTACTCCTGCATTAATGTGATATTCTTTCTCCACTCATGATCATAATAGGTCTAGGAATGTTGTGTAAAAAGAGTGAGGGAAAAAATTTTTAAACCTATAATTCTGTCACTTGTATCCAATGTAGTAGAGAACAAAATAGACTCCTACTACTGTAGGGTCTGTATTTTCTGTACAAAGCTGAAAAGGGCTGCTTGGGTCCTCCAGGCAGTACCAATAGGTCCACTTACTGCTGTGGGGCAACCAGACTAGAACTGTCTTGTCCTTCCTACAGACTTCCCCTTTCCACTTGTCTTTAAGGAAAGAGAATCCTAATTTTTCTTTAGCTGTGCTATATCAAATACAACTTTATTTCAGGTCATTTGAGCAGGCCATTATCTCCCTGTCTTTACTATTCTGCACTGTTCAAAGAGGGTGACCTCCAGTCACTTACCTGTACCAGAACCCTGGGCTCTGAGAACACCTATCAAAGCCTCCTACTTCCCATCCTGGGGCTCTAGAGTTGGCAACATAAAATTGCCATGCTAAGGGAATTTTAAGAGGTGCTGAGAGAGCAGTTTGAAGCAGGCCCCAGGCTGCAATTCTGAACAGAATGAAATGACAGCCTGGTCCTGCTAAGGATGTAGGACCTAAGAAAGCCCCAGTGTATTGAATTCCCATGGCCACTAGAGGTCTCTCCTGGATCACAGCCTAAACAAGTGTGGAAACATTGTTTTGGATGTTTACCTGTTCGAAACGCTTGTTTTCTATGTTTAAAATAGCCCCTTTGTATGGATAATTGTTTTGACTTACTTGGTGACTAAGTAGAATTGGCTGATTTAGGAATAAGCAATAAGCAACAAGAAATAAAAGAAGACAAACCTTAACTTTAAAATACTAAGAAGGCTTCGGAAAGGCATGGGGAGGAAAGAAGTAACAGAAGTAATAACGATTGACATTTATGTTGCGTGCTAAAATTCGGAAAGTACTTTATATAATCATCTTGCTTGATGCTCACGACAACCCTCTGGTTGTTATCCTCATTTTACATACGAAGAAACTAAGGCTTATTGGGGTTAAACAATTTACCCAGAGCCATACAGCCAATGTCAGAGGCAAAATCTGAACATCTTTCTGCTTTGAAACCTAGTACCCTAATGGCATTAGGGACCTAAGAGTTCATATGTTAACCTTCCTTCCCCACTATGAGAATTTATCAAGTAACACAGGAGATGAAAGAGAGGCCGGTGTTTTTCCATCTCAACATTTCAGACAGCCTTCATATTCCATCTGGAAAGTTCTGTAATCAAATACTACAAGAATTCCTTAAGGCCTAACTAGTTAGGCAACAGCAGGAAAACAATATTTTTGAAGTTGTAAGACTCATAAAAGCCTTTGAACAACTTCCTTCATTTGAATGTTGACCTCTGTACCCCCAATATACTTTTCTGACACCACAAGTAAATATGGTGTTAGGGAAAGAATGCATTGAAAGGGAATGGGGAGGAGCAGCTAGGCGGAGCAGTAGATAGAGCACAGACCCTGGAGTTAGGAGGACCTGAGTTCAAATTGGGCCTCATACACTTGCCACTTACTGTGTGACCCTGAGCAAGTCACTTAACCCCAATTGCCTTGCAAAAAACAGAAAAAAAGAAAGAAAGTGAATGGGGAAGCTGGGGTTGTTGTGTCAGCTCTGCCATACATGGCATCAGAGTAAAGTGGAAAATGTGCTGGATTTGGGCCAGAGGCTGTGAGTTAAAATCCTGACTCTACCACTTGCCATCTGTATGACTAAGAAAGTAACTTAGCATCCTTGGTTTCCTTATTTGTAAAATAACAAGGATGAGATAATATCAATCTCTAGATGAGTTCTAAGTTCCCTTTTGGCTCTATATCTTTGATGTGACATTATGGTTCTTAATTAATTTTTTGAGTCAAGCATACCGACTGCTAAGATCAAAGGCAGATATGTCAGACTCTATTAGCCCAAGAAACCTGCATTCATGGAGTAGTTAAGTTAAAGGATCTTTCATTTCATTTTCTTTTAACCTGCCCCTCATTTCTCAAATTCTAATTAGCAACCACATTAAAAAAAAAAACCCTCCAAAAATAATGTTACAGGATCAGTGCTTTAGAGCTGGATGAGGAAAACCAAGACCCAGAAAAGGTGAAAAGTTATTAACTATTTAGCACAGTAATTAAGTAGTTTTGTAGGTTATTTTGCCATTGAGTGGTTTAAAAAATCAGAATAAAAGTTACTTTAGATAGTTAAAGTTTTAAGGTGACACACTGATTGGTCTAATGACTGGATTATCTTACAAAATTAGTTTTTAATATATTTCATATTTTAATGTTTAAAAAATATAGAATTTAAGAGGGTTTTTTTGAGGGGAGGCAATATTTATTATTAATCCTGGGGAAACAGAGGATAAAAAGTTTCCCTTCTAATAATGAATAATTATAATGACCAAATTTGGCATAGAGAAGAGTTGAAAAATATTCTCCTCCCTTCACTGAGATGAGGAAGATGGATTATTGGTGGGAAATATTGCAAATACTGGCAGACATGGTAAATGTGTTGGTAAGTTTTGTTGAAGTAGGTTTGTTTTTCACTTAAAAAAAAACTTGTGTTATATTGGATAGCTTACTGAAAGGGAAAGGAGGGATATTTTTACACTTGAATATGGTATAATAAAAAAGGTGACAATAAAAATAAGAAGTCTTTTAGAGTCTTTCTATAGAACTCTAGGTTTCCTTTAGACTTTGGAGTTTTAAGATATCTTAGAGATCACCCTAGTTCAATGCCTTACTTAACAAAGAAATCTTTTGTATAAGAATTGACTGTGAGGACTCCAATGAGCTTCACTTCACTGTTTTGCATCTAGGTATTTAATAAATGATTATTGAATTGCTCAGAATTGGATCCAGAGTCCTTATTACCTTCCTAGCCTTCTCAGGGATGCAACTATTAGCAAAGCAGACCAAGAATTTATTAGTTACTTTTTTTTTAGTAGAATTAGGTTTCCAGAAGATACCCAGGTTGTGGGAATCCCTTGTTTCTGTTATTTTTGCTTCTGGGAATTATATTAGGAATATATCATCTACTTCCTTCACTTGGCTAGGGTGGGCTGTAATATACTTCTCTACTCAATATCATTTCAGTTTCTTTCCCTTTTTTCCTCACCCAAATGCTTTGGAGTATGCCTCCCTTTGTGGCACAGCAATTTCTAAACAGATGATCCTCTTCATAGACAGTACTATGTCATGGCCCCTTCTATTGCTCTGTTTCTTTTGAACATAACCTACTTTCCATCAATGTAGCTTAGTTGTTAATCCTATTTTATATCCTCTTGCACCCTGACAAACTCAGCTAGGAAGCTAGGTGGTGCAGTACATAAGAGTGCTGGGCCTAGAGTTAGGAAAACCTGAGTTCAAATCCAACCCCAGACACTTGCTAGCTGTGTGACCTTGGGCAAGTCACTTATCCTATTCACCTCAGTTTCCTCAAGTGTAAAATGGGGATAATAATAGCACCTACCTCTCAGGATTGTTGTGAGGATCAAATGAGAAAATATTTGTAAAGCATTAGCACATTTGCTCAGTTGTTCCGTCATGTCCAACTTTTTTGTGACACTATATGGGGTTTTCTTGGCAAAAATAGTAGAGTGTTTTGCCATTTACTTCTTCAGTGCTTTAAGGCAAACAGAGGAAGTGATGTGCTCAGGGTCACACAGCTAGTCAGTCTCTGAGGCTTGAATTGAACTTGGGTCTTTCTGACTCCTGTCCCACTGAGCACCTAGCTGCCTCAACATTATTATTTTCTTGATAATACTTCCCTTGTATTAATATCTCATATTAATTTCATTATCTACTAAGCATTAGGTATACAGACATTTTGAGGCCACACATACTGCCCCTGAGGTATTGTAGTGGGTAAAGTACTATACATGGAGTAAGGTACACCTGAATTCAAATCTAGTCTCAGACAACCTCAGTCAGCCTCAGTTTCCCCATCATAAAAATGGGATAGCTTAGCACCTACTTTCCAGAGTTATTGTGAGGATAAAATGAAATTATATTTGCAAAGTCCCTTGCAAACTTAAAGTACTCAATGAATTCTAGTGAGCATTATTATTATCCCTTACTAGGCACCTCCCTTACTGTTCTTCTTTTTATGACTGCTACCTGAAAGTGAAAAAAAAATGGCCAGAAAGAGAAAAGATCTGAACAAACCGAGGAAGAAAACTGATTCCTTTGGGGTTAAAAGGAGGTGACAATATGCTTATGCCAACCACAAGACGTGCCATATAACCAGGGTAACCAACCTATCTACTAATTAAACAACTTCACCCATCCTGTCCCTCCCTTTCTCTCCCAAGAAAAGGTAGCACCTACCAGAGGCATGAAGTGGGGTTCTTTTGGTTACATTGTCTTTCACAAAGATGGACGCTCCTTGATTGATAAGCGCTTCCACACATTCTGCATGTCCTTTAAAGGCAGCTAGGTCCAGAGCTGTTCGGCCTTTTTCATCCCTGATATCCAGGTCTACAAGGGATTGCAGAAGTACTTCCAAGGCTTGATGATGGCCATTGTAGGCCTAGCAAGATGGAACCAAAGACATTTAAGAAACAAACAAACCTCAATAATGTACAACACAATGTACGAACATTGTAGGGTGGCTAGGTAGTGCAGTACAGAGAGCACCGAGCCTGGAGTCAGGAAGACTAATCTTTCTGAGTTCAAATCTGGCCTTAGACACTTACTAGAACCTGGACAAGTCACTATTTGCCTCAGTTTCCTAATTTGTAAAATGAGCTGGAGAAGGAAACGACAAACCACTCCAGTATCTCTGCTAAGAAAATCCTAAATGGGGTTACAAAGAGTCAGACACAACTGAAATGACTAAACAAGAAATTGTAAGAACATGTAAGAATCTATCAGAGTATCATAACTATTCATGTTTGTTTAGAACGTTAACATTCATGGAAAGTGCTTTTCCGGTGGTCATTCTATGACAAATGTAGTATAAGTATTGTTTTCTTCATAAGGAAATGATGGCTTAGAAAGGTTAAGCTACCTCACATGCTACACAAAAATTTAGGTCCTCTGACTCCCAAACTGTGGTCCTTACAACATGCAATGCTGCTGTCCCAAAAGAATCTCAGAAAGAGTTGTTAGTATTCCACTGCAGGAACCATTTGGATACAAGAAAAACAGCATATTAAAGTTATGCTGCAAACTGCAGTTCTCCTACTTCAATAAATCATTTGCCCAAAGGATGATATTAGCTAAAAAGATGTAAGCCAGTCTACATGTCTATAGGATTCACATTGGTAGGATGTTTTTTTATGCCTTTAGGTTTTATTTTAAAATCAGAACGTGAAGGAAAGGGAGGTGAGAAGAAAAGCATCTGATCCTTCAATTTACCTCACAAATCATGTACACTCCACAGAGGCAGCACGACTGTCATTTAAAAAAAATCTTTCCCCCATGCATATACAAGGTGCTTAATGTTTGTTGAAATTGAACAGAATTTGGACTGCATTGCAATCTTTTGACATTCTAGGGGTGCCATAGCATTATAAATTATTATTTCTGCAGAAAGAACATTGAATACTTAAATAAAAAGTCTTTATATTTGCAAATGCTATGAATATACTTTGCAAATATTACTGAGTTCAAATTCCTCATCTAACTGTTTACCTGTAAGCAAGTCTGCCTGTAAGACCTTGAGCAGGTCAACTAATACCTTTGGCCTCTGTTTCCTCAGCTATAAAATGAAGAGGTTGGCCTAAATGACTTCTAAGGTTCCTTTTAGCTCTGATCTATGATCCTGTGAATAATTCATATTCTATACTGGTATCAGAGTTTACAAATAGTCTTCTTCACAAAAACTCTGAAAGGGAGTCATGGTAGGGATTAAAGATTAGGAAATTGGTGCTAGATTAGTAGGCCAAGGTCCTGTAACTAAAATGTTGACCAGGACTCAAGACACTCCATTTCTCATACTTATGAATCAGGTGCTCAAGGCCACTTGCACAAAACTCTCCTCACTACTGGAGATTGATTATTTGATGATGTGTCTGCTTGAGTCTGGGAGAAGAGAGAGCTTTTCTTCTGGTTTCCAGCTTCAAGAGACAAAATGTAGACAAAAGATATATGTTTCAAATTCTCTTCAGGGAGAGGCCCTTATAGGGAGATAAAGACTTTGGGAAGAAGGCCATATGATATAGGTGCTGATGGCTCCCCTACATGTCAATTTCTTCCTGGAGACTTTCCCTTTAGGTATCTCCCTGAAAAGAATATGGAACCATGTGTCTTCTTTCTCGAAGCTAGAAGTCAGAAGACAAAGATTACCCCTTGCTAGAGCATGGAGTAATCAATTTCCTCCAATGAGGAAAAATCTAATGCAAATGGACTTGAGCCCTGGCCTATCTCATTGAAAGAGGAGGCCCATGATAAATACAGAAGGAAAAGGGGGAAAAAAAACCCAAACCAAAGAGTGAAGAAAACAGGGAGAAAGAAAGGGGAAGGAAGGAGAGAAGAGAACCTGTTCATAGTAATGATGGCTTTTATATAGCACTTTAAGGTTTACAATGTACTTTTTAAATTTTTTAAAAAATTTTTAGTTTTTAACATTCACTTCCACAAGATTTTGAGTTCCAAATTTTCACCCCATCTCACCCCTCCCCCCCAAGATGGCATGCATTCTGAATATCCCTTCCCCTAGTCTGCCCTCCCTTCTATCTCTCCCCTCCTTCTCTTATCCCCTTCCCCTTCTATTTTCCTGTAGGGCAGGATAGATTTCTGTACCCCATTTCCTGTATTTCTTATTTCCCAGTTGCATGTGAAAATATTTTTTTAAACATGTGTTTTTAAAACTTTGGGTTCCAAATTTTCTCCCTTCCTCCTCCACCCACCCTCATTGAAAAGGCAAGCAACTCAATATAGGTTATACATGTGCAGTTATGCAAAACACTTCCATAGTAGTCATGATGTGAAAAACTAACTCTATTTCCCTTAATCCTATCCGCCCCCCATTTATTCTATTCTTTCTTTTGACCCTGTCCCTCCTCAGAAGTGTTTGCTTCTGATTACCCCCTTTCCCAATCTGCCCTCCTCTCTATCATTCCCCTGCTCTCTTGTCCCCTTCTCCCCTATTTTCCTGTAGGGTAAGACAGATTTCCATACCCAATTGAGTGTGTATGTTATTCCCTCCTTAAGCCAAATCCTATGAGAATAAGATTACTCATTCCCTCTCACCTTCCCCTGTCCCCTCCACTGTAAGAGCCTTTCTTTCTGTTTTTTTTTGTGAGATAATTTACCCCATTCTACCTCTCCCTTTCTCTTCTCCAGAATAATCTCTCTCACCCCTTAATTTTATTCTCCAGATAACACCCTTCATCTTCAACTCACCCTGTGCCCTCTATGTATGTATGTATGTATGTATGTATGTATGTATGTATCTATCTATCTATCTATCTATCTACACATACATATAATTTTTTCCCTCCAACTACCCTAATACTGACAAAGGTCTCACGTGTTATAAATATCATCTTTCCATGCAGGAATGTAAACAGTTCAACCTTAATAAGTCTCTTATGATTTCTCTTTCCTGTTTACCTCTTCATGTTCCACTTGAGTCTTGTATTTGAAAGTCAAATTTTCTATTCAGCTCTGGTCTTTTCATAAGAATGCTTGAAAGTCCTCTATTTCACTGAATGACCATTTTTTCCACTGAAGGATTATACTCAGTTTTGCTGGGTAGGTGATTCTTGGTTGTAATCCTATCTCCTTTGCCCTCTGGAATATTATATTCCATGCCCTGTGGTCCCTTAATGTAGAAGCTGCTAAATCTTGTGTTATCCTGATTGTGTTTCCACAATACTTGAACTGCTTGTAATATTTTCTCCTTGACTTGGGAACTCTGGAATTTGGCTACAATATTCCTAGGAGTTTTCCTTTGGAGATCTCTTTCAGAAGGAGATCGGTGGATTCTTTCAATTTCTATTTTGCCCTCTGGTTCTAAAATATCAGGGCAGTTTTCCTTGATAACTTCTTGAAAAATGATGTCTAGACTCTTTTTTTGATCAGGGCTTTCAGATAGTCCAATAATTTTTAAATTATCTCTCCTGGACCTATTTTCCAGGTCAGTTGTTTTTCCAATGAGATATTTCACATTGTTTTCTAATTTTTCATTCTTTGGGATTTGTTTTACAGTGTCTTGATTTCTCACAAAGTCACTAGCTTCCAATTGCTCTATTCTAATTTTTAAGGAAGTATTTTCTTCAGGAAGCTTTTGGATTTCCTTTTCCATTTGGCCAATTTTGCTTTTTAGGGCATTCTTCTCCTCATTTGCTTTTTGGACCTCTTTTGCCATTTGGGTTAGGCTATTTTTTAAGGTGTTATTTTCTTCAGTATTTTTTTTGGGTCTCCTTTAGCAAGCTGCTGACTTGTTTTTCATGATTTTCTTGCATCACTCTCATTTCTCTTCCCAGTTTTTCCTCTACTTCTCTTACTTGCTTCTCAAAATCCTTTTTGAGCTCTTCCAAGGCCTGGGACTGATTCATATTTTTCCTGTAGGCTTTGGATGTAGGAGCTTTGACTTTATTGTCTTTTTCTGGTTATATGTTTTGATCTTCTTTGTTATCAAAAAAAATTCTATAGTCTGACACTTCTTGCGAGGTTTGCTCATGATCCCAGCCAATTATTTGAGTTATAAACTCTTTATTAAGGTAGAGGTCTGCTTCCAATGTGGAGAATGTACCGTCCCAAGTTTCGATTTGTACAGCTGTTTTCAGAGATACTTCTAGGGACCTGTAAATTTTCAGTTCTTCCAAGGTGGTATGATAAGGGGCAAGGTGTTTAATCTTTTCCTGGCCTGTGCTCTGGTCTATGAGTGACCATTAGTGAACTGTAGCACAGGTCTGGCCAGCAGAGATCCTCTGCCTTGCCCACAACTGCCTTTACTACCTCTGGGACAGGAACTTATTTGCTAAAAGGGCAAAAGGGCCCAGCCTGATTAAATAAATGATAGTGTCAAAAGGACCCCATAGGAATTAGGAGCTCTGTACTAATATTATTTACACTAAGCATTACCCCATTTAAAAAAAATGCTCTGCCTCCTATTATAGGACATGAATAAGCTCTGCTCAGCCAGACAAGTCCTAGCCCTCCCAAAGCAGCACAATTTAGTAAACTGACAGCTTTTCAATATTGTTAGTGACATCTATTAATTATGTATCTTTACAATAACATCACCTAGGAAGACAGCCATCTAAGTTGAATATTTAGCAGTTGGATAGTGATTTAAAATGCCTTTATCACAATTCCTTCAGCAGATACAGATATTAGGACCATTCCTCCTCCTCCTCCTCTCAACATGAACAATGTCCCCTGAGGGAACACATTTCTAAAACAGAACTCATTATATCTTACCTTCCCTAAATCCCACTCACTTCCTAAATCCCCTCCTTCTGTAGAGGGCATCCTTATTCTTTTAGTAACCCACATTTTCAACCTTGACTCTTCCCTTTCTGCACTGTCCTCCCGGGCTGGTGCTCTATCCACTGCCACCTAGCTGCTCCAACTGAA